CAGTTACTACCCTACTTTTCTGCTCCTCAGAATGGTTGTCTATATTCTTACTGTCCTATCTCTCTCTTCTCGTTCACTCAAACCCACTCCACTCAGGCATTCAGACTTCACCACTTCACCAAAGCAGCTTTCGCTGAAGTCACCAATGATGCTCCTGTTGCTAAATAAATCTATTGATCAATTTTTAATCCTCATTCTACAGCAACTGACATTTCACTCCTTCCTGTTTGAAATAAATTTTTTCGCTTAGTGATCAGGTCTCTTCTCTATCTGATTCTCATCCTATTTTTCAGGCTACTCTTCTTCTCAGTCTACTTGCTGATTCCTCCTTTCCCCCTCAAATCTTTGGCATTTCCCAAGGTAGACTGCTTTTCTCCATCTGCATTCACAGCCTCAGTGATCCTATCCAGTCTTACGATTTTAAATACCATTCTACAAGAGGCAAAAATAAACTGTGGTGATAAAAATCAGAACAATGATTGCCTCTTGGGAGTAGACTAACCAGAAAGGGGCATGAGAGAACTTTCTGGGGTATAGAAATGCTCTGTACTTGATTCGGACGCTGGTTATACAGGTGTGTATGTTTGCCAAAAGTCATCAAACTGTACATTTAATACCCATACGTTTCAATACACATAAAGCATACTTCAATTTAAAAAATAAATAAATAAAAGGAGGAAACCTAAATAAATATCCTCTACATGATGATAACTTCCAAATGATTATTCTTAGACCTAAACACGCCCTAAAATTATAGACTCACATATTCAACCTTCTATTTCACACCTCCACTTGGATGTCCAGTAAGTATCTGAAACTTTACATGCCTATAACTGAACTCTTGATCTTCCCGGAAACCTGCTCCTCCCACAATCATCTTCTCAGTTAACGGCAACTCAATTCTGTTAGGCAAAAAACTTGGGTGTCATCCCACTTTTCTGTTTCTCTCACACCCTATCTATCAACAGAAACTTTAGAAGATATCCAGAACCACGTTCACAGCTACCAAAGCTTGATTATTACCACAAATTTCAAGCTGGTCTTGTTTCTGCCCTTGCCTCCCTCACCCCAAACCAGACCACTATCTCTTCCCAACAGAGCAGCCAATGAGTCTTTTAAAATACAAGCTACAAACTTCAGAATAAGAAGAAAATTGATACATGTGATCACATAAAAACAGAAACTTCCTAATATATAAAGATTCTAAAAGTAGAGAAAACACTGACCAACAAATGGAG